CATCTCCAGTTTCATCACTTGGTAGATCAAGGTTCTACGTTACCTTCATCGATGATTTCAGCAAGAAGGTATGAATTTATTTTCTGAAACACGAGTCAAATGTGTTTGCCACCTTCAAGAAGTGGAAAGCTGAAGTTGAAAATGAGACCGGCTTGAAGATCAAATGTCTGAGGTCTGATAATGGAGGAGAGTACAACAAATTTGAGTTTAAAACATTTTGTGCAGCTGAGAGAATTAGATTAATGAGAACTAAAGAAAGTGCGGTTGGAAATGGTCCATACAAACGTTTGGGGACCAACTCGAGTTTCATCACTTGGTAGATCAAGGTTCTACGTTACCTTCATCGATGATTTCAGCAAGAAGGTATGAATTTATTTTCTGAAACACGAGTCAAATGTGTTTGCCACCTTCAAGAAGTGGAAAGCTGAAGTTGAAAATGAGACCGGCTTGAAGATCAAATGTCTGAGGTCTGATAATGGAGGAGAGTACAACAAATTTGAGTTTAAAACATTTTGTGCAGCTGAGAGAATTAGATTAATGAGAACTAAAGAAAGTGCGGTTGGAAATGGTCCATACAAACGTTTGGGGACCAACTCGAGTTTCATCACTTGGTAGATCAAGGTTCTACGTTACCTTCATCGATGATTTCAGCAAGAAGGTATGAATTTATTTTCTGAAACACGAGTCAAATGTGTTTGCCACCTTCAAGAAGTGGAAAGCTGAAGTTGAAAATGAGACCGGCTTGAAGATCAAATGTCTGAGGTCTGATAATGGAGGAGAGTACAACAAATTTGAGTTTAAAACATTTTGTGCAGCTGAGAGAATTAGATTAATGAGAACTAAAGAAAGTGCGGTTGGAAATGGTCCATACAGACGTTTGGGGACCATCTCCAGTTTCATCACTTGGTAGATCAAGGTTCTACGTTACCTTCATCGATGATTTCAGCAAGAAGGTATGAATTTATTTTCTGAAACACGAGTCAAATGTGTTTGCCACCTTCAAGAAGTGGAAAGCTGAAGTTGAAAATGAGACCGGCTTGAAGATCAAATGTCTGAGGTCTGATAATGGAGGAGAGTACAACAAATTTGAGTTTAAAACATTTTGTGCAGCTGAGAGAATTAGATTAATGAGAACTAAAGAAAGTGCGGTTGGAAATGGTCCATACAGACGTTTGGGGACCATCTCCAGTTTCATCACTTGGTAGATCAAGGTTCTACGTTACCTTCATCGATGATTTCAGCAAGAAGGTATGAATTTATTTTCTGAAACACGAGTCAAATGTGTTTGCCACCTTCAAGAAGTGGAAAGTTGAAGTTGAAAATGAGGCCGACTTGAAGATCAAATGTTTGAGGTCTGATAATGGAGGAGAGTACAACAAATTTGAGTTTAAAACATTTTGTGCAGTTGAGAGAATTAGATTAATGAGAACAATTCTCGGTAAGGCAAGACAAAATTGTGTTGCAAAAAGGATGAACAGAACATTGAATGAGTAAGTAAGAAGCATGAGGATTCATTTTAGACTACCAAAGACATTCTGGGCTGATGCTGTGAACACAACAGCCTATTTGATCAATAGAGGGCTGTGAGTACCCTTGGAGTTCAAATTGACAGAAGAAGTATGGACAGGAAAAGAACTCAAGTACTCTCACTTGAGAACTTTTGGCTGTATTGCGTATGTTCGTGTTGATCCAGAGAAGAGAGACATGCTTGATGTTAAGGATGTGAAGTGCTACTTCATAGGCTATGGCTCTGACATGTTCGGATACAGGTTTTAGGATGACAAGAATAGACATTGTGATGTGACCTTTGATGCAAATGTTCTTTTTAAGGACAAAGAGAAGATAAACTCTTAAACTAAGAAGCAAGTGGGAGTTGAGCTCGAGTTGTAGAAAAACTCATCCAATGATGCTACAATAGAAGCTCAAGAAACTCATGATCCTATTGCTGAAGAACTAGACGTGGAGCAAGTTACACCTGAGCAGGTGTTGAGAAGATCATCCAGAACTATCAGAGCACCAGATAGATATTCATCTTCATTACATTATTTGTTGTTGACTGACAAAGGAGAACCAGAGTTCTTTAATGAGACCCTACAGGTGGAAGATTCAACCAAGTGGAAGCAAGTCATGGATGATGAGATGAGCTCACTTGAAAAGAATAATTTGTGGGCGCTGATTGAGTTACTACATGAAAGAGAGCTTTGTTGAACAAATGAGTGTTCAGAATCAAGGCTAAACTAGATGACAGACGGAGGTTTAAGACTTGGTTAGTAGTTAAAGAATATTCACAAAGAAAAGACATTGATTATCATGAGATCTTTTTTCCTATTGTGAAATTAACTACTATTCGAATTCTATTGAGCATTGTTGCATTGGAGAATTTGCACCTTGAGCAAATGGATGTACAAACAATTTTTTTACATGGAGATCTAGATGAGGAGATCTATATGCAACAACCAGAAGGGTTTAAGCTCTATGTGCATGAAGTTTGACTCCTTCATGTGCAAGAGTGGTTTCCACAAGAGTGAAAATGATTAGTGTTGTTACCTCAAGAAATAAGCTGATTCTTATATGTTTCTACTCTTGTATGTTGATGATATACTGATTCCTCGATCAAGTATGAGGGATATAAACCACCTAAAGGCAAGCATATCTTTAGTATTTGAGATGAAAGATTTGGGTGCAGCGAAGCTGATTCTTGGGATGAGGATTTCTCGAGATAGATTTGCTGGCACATTAACTCTATCCCAGGAGCAGTACATTGAGAAGGTGTTGTCCAAACTTAGGATGAATGATACTAAACCCAGGACTACGCCTTTGCCAAATCATATTAAATTGTCAAAGGAGCAATCTCCCAAGACAGTTGAGGAACGTGAGCACATGGCATCAGTTCCGTACGCGTCTGCAGTTGGGAGTTTGATGTATGTTATGGTCTGCACTAGACCTGATTTAACACATGCAGTGGGAGTTGTTAGCAAGAACATTGGGAAGTTGTGAAGTGACTTTTGAGATATCTGAAAGGTACATCCAATACTTCACTTTGTTACGACAATAGTAAAGTAGTTCTGCAAGGTTCTGTGGATGCTAATCTGAGTGAAGATGTAGACTCTAGGAAGAGCATATCTGGATATATCTACACTATAGATGGAACAACATTGAGTTGAATGTCTAAGCTTCAGAAATGCGTTGCTCTTTCATCTACTGAGGCTAAGTATGTGGCAACAACGGAAGCTGGAAAAGAGATGATATGGATGACAGACTATATAGAAGAATTAGGCAAAAAGTAGCACAAGAAGATTCTTTATGCATATAGTTAGAGTGTCATACAGTTGGTGAAGAACTCAGTCTATCATTCAAAGACAAAACACAACAGATGGTAATACCATTTCACTCGTAGGTTAGCGGAAGAAGGTGATATGTGTTTGGAGAGATAGAGGGTGCAAAGAATCTATCAGACATGTTGATAAAATGTGTTGATGTTGGAAAATTGAGGTTATACAAATCCTTAATTGGTATGGTGCAGTGAAGATGATGATGGTCGTTTGAGAATGAAATTCTTGGTTGACTAAATCAGTCTTTAAGTTGGAGAATTGTTAGGTTATGGAGCTTGATTATTTACAGCTTTGTTAACGGTTATAAGTAAAGCTATATATGGTAAATGACATATAAAGTAAATTGTCATTAATAGTAAAGAGCTATATATAGAAAAAAAAATTATATTATGGTAGATAGTTATATATAGTAGATGATTATATCTAGTAAAGTTATATATATAGTAAACTGAACGATATATATTCCCTTAGGCAGAGTTTTGGAGATGTACTCTATTTATTTATAATCCTATTGTACATACGTGAAGTCATCAATATAAACCTTTAACCAATATTCCTCATTACATTTTCTCTCTTCTGTTATTTGTGTTCATCTGGATCGAGTGTGTGCGTTGTTGTGCGATCCTAATACAACAAGAGTTAGACATAATTTTCTTACTTTTTCATGTACTGTATCTTGAGTTATATCATGTCCAAATTGGATTAAATCCTACTTCCTCGCCGGAGTCGACCCACTAAAATTTCTTATTGGTTAGAGCGTTTGGGACCTTTTCAAGACACGACTTGTGATGTCCCACATTGGTTGGGGAGAAGAACAAACCACCATTTAAAGGTGTAGAAACCTTCCCCTAGCAGACGCATTTTAAAGCCTTGAGGGGAAGCCCGAAAGGAAAAGCCCAAAGAGAACAATATCTGCTAGCGGTGGACCTGGGTCGTTACAGTTGGTATCAGAGCCCTAGGTTATAGATCTTGTAGATTAGCCTACGAAGTAGGCTTGGCATGTTCCACGATCCAATCACCGATGCTCCGTCGTTGTTAGGTACACCTTGCGTAGGATGAGGGAAGGACAGATATTTTTGTGATATATTTTATGTGATTGGCTTTAAATATTGAGTGTCATGATACTCTATGATTTTATGTTATGATGTGATCTTGTGTCAATGCATGTCTTTATGTTACGACATTTATGTTTTTTTTTCCTTGAATTATATAGTGGAATGTAAGAAATGTTATAAGTAAATCATAGACTTGGATAGAATTATTTTCTTGGTTTCTAGAACCATACCGCACAGAAGGCATAGAAGTGGTATGAGAGGGAGAGGATAACCTCCCATTAGGAGATGGGGAAGAAGAGAAGCCGAAAGAACATCTTTCCAAGAAGGGTCGACTACTGGACCCTATGCACTCGAACTACCACTGAGGGAACCTCCTCTACAAGTTGCACCCCCTCCTGAAAATGCACCCCTCCTACAAGCTACACCCCCTCCTAAAAACGCACCTCCCCCACAAGTTGCACCCCCTCCTGAAAACACACTGCTCCCTCAAGCTGCACCACAAGCAAGATTGGACCCCACCACACGATTAGTGTTGGAGTCACTCCAGACGACGATGCAAACAATGTTGGCCACACAACAGACCACATTGTTAGCTATACAACAAGTCGCAGTAATGGCCACGCAACCAGCCAATGCAATGATCACACCACCGGTTGATGCGGCGGCCACACAACCGGCCAAAAACCCGCAATCGGACAGGGGGGCGAGTTGGTTAAAAGACTTCAGATGGTATGATCCCCGTCCATTCGTCGGTTTAAAGGAAGATCCCACAGCAGCTCAGATGTGGATTGCAACCATGGAAACGACCTTTGAATCAATGAGATGCCCTGACGACCGTAAAGTAGCGTGCGCGGCATATGTACTGCAAAAAGACGCAGAAGTGTGGTGGGCAGATAATAAACAGAATATCAACCCGAGAGAGGGGATCACAACGTGGGAAACCTTTAAGGAAGCCAACCTGAAATACTACTATCCAAAGGAAACCCGTATAAAGAAACAACAAGAATTTAACCACCTGACCCAAGGCAAACGCACGGTGGATCAGTATGATCAAGAATTCATGAGATTAAAGAGGTTCGCACCGTCACTAGCAGACATTGAAGAGAAACAGACGGAGAAATTGTGTTGGGGTTGAACCCGAAGACCCATTGCATGTTGGAGGCATTTAACCCGAAAAGTTACAAAGAGGCCCTGAGGACGGCCAAGGCCCTGGAGGAACCTCCAGAGGAGAAAAAATCGGAGCCAACGACTGCCGTAGGAAAGAAACGCCCCGTCGTGGCTAAACCCATGGAATTTCAACCGCCACCCTAGAGACCTCGACATCAGGACAGGCGATCTGCTCCGCCCCTAGTAACTCGAGACCTAGTACCGGAAAAACCTCAGTGTCGCGAATATGGGAAACAACATTGGGGCAGATGTATGGCAGGTTCGAGGGTGTGTTATAGGTGCGGTTGTGCAGGTCACAGGGCTCAATTCTGTATTGGAACGGACGTGGGAAACCCAAGGGGACCCCCTAGAGATGTGGTTATACGAGAACTCACCACGCAAACCTGCGCACCGACCAGGGCATATGTAACGACCAGTAAACAAGCGGGAACGTCTGGCACTGTTGTGACAAGTACACTTTCGATACTAGGACACTTTGTATTGACATTATTTGATTCGGGTTCTACCCATTCGTTTGTTTCTTTTCCATTTGTTAGTCAAGCAGGGTTTGTAGTAGAACCCTTAATGCATGTATTGTCGGTCGGAACCCCAGCAGGGGTAGACCTAGTTAATGAAAATAGAGTAAAAGACGGACAAATGGTAATAGCTGGACGAACAATCCATGTATACCTAAAAGTAATAGATAGACGGATTTTGATGTCATACTAGAAATGGACTAGCTAGTCGAAAACTTTGCTAGCATAGACTACCATAAAAAAGAAGTGGTATTCCCACCTCCAAATGGACTTACCTTTAAGTTTAAGGGAACCCGCACAGGCACCACCCCAAAAATAATATCGATGATGAAAGCTATGTTAGATAAAGGCTATGATTTCTTTACATTTGGTTAGTTGTTTTTTACTTTTGAAAAATATGAATTAATGCTCGCGAATGGAATAGCTTAATTTTTGCTGGACATTTTGGTCAACTTGGGCCCAAGTTTGTGTTTACTGCCAAATTTAGGAAGATTTGTTATTTAAATAAGTTCGAACTGAATCAAATAAAAATCGGGTCTTAAGAAAATATATTCTCTCTCCTTTGTTTTTCATTATTCTTTTTCTTCGAAGAAGATTTCCTTCCGCCGGTTTTTACTCGTCGACGTTTTCCTCTCAATTGCCAGAAGTCAACAAGCTAGACACCTGGTACAACAAGGGGGGTGGACGATTCTAGCCTGTGCAATAAACACAAAAGGAAAAGAGAAAACAACAGATATGGTACCCATAGTAAGAGAATTCCACGATGTCTTCCCGGAGGATCTTCCGAGAATTCCTCCATCGCGAGTGGTAGACTTCGGAATAGAACTTAACTAGGAAAGAGACCTATCTCTAAAGCCCCATACTGCATGGCCCCAACAGAACTAAAAGAACTTAAATTACAACTCGATGACTTATTAGACAAAGGCTTCATTCGACCTAGCGTATCCCCTTGGGGTGCACTAGTGTTGTTTGTTAAAAAGAAGGATGGTTCTATGCACCTATGCATTGACTACAGAGAATTAAACAAGAAGACGGTAAAGAAAAAATATCCATTACCACGCATCGAGGACCTATTTAACCAACTTCGAGAGGCAACAGTGTTTTCCAAAATAGGCCTTTGATCAGGATACCATTAAATTAAAATTAAAAACGAAGATATACCGAAAATAGCCTTTCAAACCAGATATGGCCACTATGAGTTTGTAGTAATGTTCTTTGGCTTCACCAACGCTCCAGCAGTGTTCATGGAATTAATGAACCGAGTATTCAAGGAGTGCTTAGACACGTTTGTGATTGTGTTCATAAACGACATCTTGACATACTTGAAAACGGACGAAGAACACCTTCGAAAAGCCCTAAACTATTCTAAAGGAGAATAAGTTGTGTGCCAAATTCTCCAAATGCGAATTTTGGCTACGACAGGTTTCGTTCTTGGGACACGTAGTGTCTAAAGAAGGAATTTTAGTAGATCCCACCAATATAGAAGCTGTCACGAAATGGAAACGCCCAACTACGGTCACCGAGATACGAAGTTTCTTGGGATTGGCAGGTTACTATCGAAGGTTTGTCCAAAACTTTGCTAGAATAGCCTCGCCTCTCACCCAATTGACAAAAAAGGGCGTACCTTTCGTATGGAACGATACTTGTGAGACCAACTTTCAAGATCTAAAACAAAGACTAGTGTTTTCCCCAGTGCTCACGGTCCTAGAAAGCTCTGCGAGATACTTGATTTACAGTGATGCATCCAAAAAGGGGCTAGGTTGTGTACTGATGCAACATGGCAAGGTTGTTGCGTATGCATCATGGACATTAAAAGATTACAAGAAAAACTATCCTACACACGATTTGGAGTTGGCGACGGGGGTGTTCATGTTAAAAATTTGGCGGCACTACCTGTATGGTGAAAAGACCCAAACGAGCTGACATAGCGGTAGTAACCAAGGAGGTTATAACCCAAATAGCCCGACTGACAGTGCGTCCCACGCTCAAACAGAGGATCGTAGACTCACAACGCGAGGACCCTAGCCTAAACAAAATCCTAGACTAGTTGACACTAGGCCCAGTGGATAGTTTTTCTAAGTCAATAGACGATGGACTATTATGTCAAGGACGTTTATGTGTCCCAGCTATGAGCGAAATAAAGAACGAAATCCTAACTAAAGCACACAACTCACCCTTCTCAATACATCCAAGTGGTACAAAGATGTATCAAGACCTGAAACAACACTTATGGTGGCAGAGTATGAAAAAGGATATCACGAAATATGTGAGTAAATGTCTAGTGTGCCAACAAGTAAAAGCCCATAGGCAGAAAACCACCAGACTACTACAACCTCTAAGTGTACTGGAATGGAAATGAAAAAATATTGCTATGGATTTCATAGTAGGCTTACCCAAGACACTAAAGGGTTACATGGTAATTTAGGTAATTGTCGATCGTCTGACAAAGTCGACACACTTCCTACTGGGTAAGGCAACATATACAGTAGCAACTGGGCTCAACTGTATGTGAAAGAAATTGTGAGGTTGCATGGAGTCCCGGTATCAATAGTGTCAGATCGGGACCCGCGTTTTACGTCGGCTTTTTGGCGTGAACTCCAAAAAGCGTTGGGTACCCACCTCGACTTTAGCACTGTCTTTCACCCACAAACTGATGGCCAAACAGAACGATTAAACCAAATCCTAGAAGACATGCTTCGGGCATGTGTTATGGATTTCACGAGGAGTTGGGACACTAAACTACACTTAATGAAATTCTTATACAACAACAGTTTCCAAGCAACAATCGGGATGGCGCCGTTTAAAGCGTTATATGAAAAATGGTGTAGGTCCCCATTGTGCTCGGAATATAGAAAATTAGAGCAAGGATGTGCCCGCACAAAGTAGGCAAAAGAGCTATGTCGACGATAGGCGTAGGAACTTAGAGTTCGAAGAGGGGGACCCAGTGTTCCTAAAAGTAGCTCCTATGAAAGACGTTCTAAGATTCAGACGTAAGGGAAAACTAAGCCCTTGCTTTATCAGACCTTTCGAAATCCTAGAAAGAATAGGTTCAGTAGCATACAAACTAGCCTTACCACCTTCACTCTCGAGTGTACATGATGTGTTTCATGTGTCCATGTTGAGGAAATATATTACAGATCCTACGCACGTGATAGACTACAAACCCCTGGAGATCGAGGAAAACTTAAATTATCAGGAGAAAGCGATTAAAATTCTAAATCGAGGAAGCGACGTGGGAACGAGAAGAGGAAATAAAAGAAAAATACCCCGAATTGATCCAAGAGTTCAAGACTTTCGAGGACGAAAGTTCTTTTTAGGGTAGATAATGTAACATATCAAATAAAAAAAAAAAAAAAATTCGCAGTCGTCGGCGAGACCGAAAACTCCGACATACGCTGGAGTTTTCGTTCTCACACGACCCACGAGCTCGCCAAACTTCGGAAGTCACCACAACAATGGACCTCGACCCTCAGCCAAACGCCTGTAAGGAAGAAAACGAAAAAACGTAGAGTGAGGAAGAAACGGACGACGCTCTGGCGAAGCCAAACCATAGCAAAATCGACTTCGAAACCTCCGTTCTACACCACGAAAACAATCCCAGTGACCTTTACACACACCAGGGATAGATTTCGACATTGCTTACATGTCGTACATCGTCGGGTAAGGGAGACAGAACGTCGGATTTCTGAACCCTCTCAGATTCGAGAGTGTGAGGCTCTTACGAACCAAACAAGCACCATAAACGGGATTAAGGGTAGGAGGAGACTCGGAAACGGAGGAAAAATGAGGAAAAAGGACGTCGAAATGACGTTACCGAGGAGAGAGAGATCGCCGAAAAAATTTCCAATAACCGGGCAAAGAAGACGAAGACCGACCCAAGGGCCGGACCCCGTGACCCGAACCATGTCCAACCCACTCTAGTCCAAACCTCGGCCCGACACCCCCGCGGCCCAATCGCCTCAGCCCAAACCAAAAAACCCAATTACGGCCTAACCCATCAGCTGCGACTCAAGACCCAAAAACCCAACCGACTCGAGACCCGCAAGCCTAATCCAATACTCGATGTTCACAGCCCAGCCCACCTAGGGGTATACATTCAACCCGACAACCCGAACCAACCCAACCCGAACTATAAAGGTTGGGTTGGGTTGGATAGCACTTCAAGTAGGGTTAGGTTCATTTTTTCTTAACTCGAATTAAATCGGTACGATTTCGGGTTCATGGGACAAAACTCTCGAGTTGACCCGAGCAACCCGAGCCAAATAAAAATATATAAACTATATTAAGAATTTTAAAGTATTAATAGGTTTGCTAGAGTGGTATTTTGGCTAGTCTAGCGAGACCCATGCTCGGGTTTGACTCTAGGCAATTACATATTTCTTTTTATTATTTTGTTTAATTTCTTTTACATTATTTTTAATTTCTTTTTCTTCTATTAGTTTCTTTTTATATA